CCCTTGAGTCCGCAGGCCGACGCTCTATCCACTGAGCCAAACCGGTTAGGCAACATCTTTTTTTTTTTTTTAAAAATTAAATTTGTTGGGGTAACATTGATTAATAGCATGATATAAATTTTGGGTGTACAACTTTATAATACAACATCCATATACTGTGTTGTGTGCTTACTACCTGACTTCTAGTCTCCTTTTGTTACCATATACAGGGTGGGGCAAAAGTAGGTTTACAGTTTTTCATATGGAAAATAATACAAAGACTAAAAAAATAATAATACAAGAATAAACTTTGTGTTTTGCATACTTGCAACTGTAAACCCACTTTTGCCCCAACCTGTATTTGACCCCCTTTCCCCTCAGCTCCTTTCCCCTCTGGTAACAACCATTCTGTTGTCTCTACCTATGAGCTTTTTTTTTTTTTTTAAATTTGTTTCATTTCTTCATTTGTTGCTTTTTTGTTTTATATTGAATATATGAGTGAAACCACATGGTTCTTGTCCTTTTCCATCTGACTTATTTTACTTAAGAGCTTTCCATGTCCTGGCTGGTTTGGCTCAGCGGATAGAGCGTCAGCCTGCGGACTCAAGGGTCCCAGGTTCGATTCCGGTCAAGGGCATGTACCTGGGTTGCGGGCACATCCCCAGTAGGGGGCGTGCAAGAGGCAGCTGAATCGATGTTTCTCTCTCATTGATGTTTCTAACTCGTTATCCCTCTCCCTTCCTCTCTGTAAAAAAATCAATAAAATATATTTTTTTAAAAAAAGAGCTTCCCATGTTGTTGTAAATGGCAGTATTTTCTCTTTTTTTTTCATGGCTGAGTATTATTTCATTGTATATATGTACCACATCTTCTTTTTGGGGGGTAGATACCCAGAAGAGGGATTGTTGGGTCTTATGGTAGCTCTTTTTTTAATTTTTTGAGGAACCTTCATACTGTACCAGTTTACATTCCCACCAGCAGAAAAGAGTGTCTTTTCAACAATTAGTGCTCAAACAACTGGACATCTACACACGGAAAACTGCATCTAGACACAGGCCTTACACCTTTCCCAAAATCAACTTCAAAATGATCGTACACCTAAATGTGAAATGTAAGCTATAAAGCTTCTGGAAGAAAACTTTAGAGAAAATCTAGATGACCTTGGGTTTGGCGATGAGTTTTTAAATACAACACCAAAAGTACAGTCCATGAAAGAAAAAAATGAAAGCAGAACTTCATTAAAATTTAAAGCATGCACTTGCTCTGAAAGACAGTGTTAAGAGAAAGACACGCCACAGACTGAGAGAAAATACTTGCAAACACATATCTGATAAAGGACTTGTATTGAGTAAATGAAAATTTGTGAGTTCATAATGACAGCAAAAACAGCTGTCACTGGTTACCAATGAAGGTGACAGAACACTTTTATGACTCTGAACCTTTATAAATAATGCTTTTATCCTGTCTTTCCTGTGTGAAATGGTGAAAATTTGTATTTATTGGAGAAGTTTAGACAAAAAATGCAGAAGGGGTGATATAGTTAGAAAGTCACCATTTTGCAATTTGGAGTGGAAATGATGGGTCTAGATCAGTGGTCGGCAAACTCATTAGTCAACAGAGCCAAATATCAACAGTACAATGATTGAAATTTCTTTTGAGAGCCAAATTTTTTAAACTTAAACTATATAGGTAGGTACATTGTTATTAACTTAATTAGGGTACTCCTAAG